CTCTATCTGGTCTAGCTGACTCATTAAAAAGTGTAATATTTACAAAAATTCAAACTCTATTATAAAAAAACGGATTTTTCGCTCAAATGGAAAATTGCAAAAAACTAACAGCTGGATAACTTTAAATGAGCATCAAATAATTTCTGATTTATCAAATAATACCTAATTTTTTAGAAAATACCTCATTAAAAAGTTTAATAAACCAGGTTTTACGTGGGTTAAATTTTTATCAATAGAATATTGAACCTCCAAACAATAATACAAGCTTTGATTTAATCTGAAATCCTCATCCAAGCTCTATTACACAACTATATAAACTGTTGTTAGTTTCTACATTAACACAACGCTTTGAGCTTTGTAAAAATGAAGAATTGACATTAAAAAGACACAATAAACTTGAAAGAAACGAGTTTAAGACTTTTTTAAATGTTTCCAAGTATTGCAAAAATTGCATACACATAGAGTGTATGTAATTTTTAAAATACCGGATAGTTAGAGTGTAATTTTTATAATTCTTCGGGGCCATCCATAAATGATGTCAGTAAATAGAGGGGGTTTGAGGTGCTGCAAAGTTTGACACTAATTGTAAATGTGGAGAGGGTTTAAAACCAAAAATGTCAATTTTAAAACTTTTTTAAAAAAAGTCTACATTTACGCATGTAACTATGAGCATAGTTCTAAAAAATCGCTTAAAAAATAAAAAATAATACGACAAAACACAATACATTGTTTTATTGGTATTGGTATTAATGCCATAAAAAGAGAAGGTAAAAATGCATTTATAAATTTATTTTAGGGGGGGGGGGGGAGGGGTGAAGATTAACAAAAAATGAAATCATTTTTAAGGGGAGAACGGCCAAAAATTGACAGCTTGACAAAGAGGGAGATGGGTTTAAAAACCTATGAAAAACTACTAGCATCATTTATGGACGGCCCAATATAAGAATATAATCTCATCAAACTCTTCGAACTTACCCAGTGGGCACTGGACCTAAAAAAGACGTTTTTTAAACGTTCAAAAGACGTTCAAAACGTTCAAAAGACGTTCAAAAGACGTCCAAAACGTGTATAAGACGTTTAAAAGACGTCTTTTTTACTTCCGTGCCCACTGGGTATATAAAAAATATTTCTCTTCGAACAGAATTTCGCATTAGAGCAGAAAAAATTCTACAAAAAAGTTGTTTTTGTTTCATCGCAATTTTTCTTATAAATTTATTATTGTTGCTTCGAAAAAAACTATTTTTGCATGCTACGAATCTCTATTTCTGTTTCGAAAATAAATTTACTGCAGGAAATAATCTAATGCGTAAGCCGAATAGTTATTTTTTTTTTAGTAATTAAAAGATACATTAAAAGCCAAAACTACTTTTCAACATTTATTAAATAAAATTAAAAATATATTTTAAAAATACAGCTATAGTTTTTAAGATTATTAAAATATCAAACATTGAAAAACTAGAGTTGTGGAGAAATGTACAACATAAAAGTTAAAGTATACAATCTTCATAAAAAAAAAAATATTAAAAAAAGAACCTTTTCTCTAAAACAAGGGTTATAGATTAAACTTAGATAAAATTTATAGATAAATTTAGATAAAATAGACGCTAAAATGTCATTAAAACTTGTCAACAGAGACAATTTTAAGGGTTTTTATTATTTATTCGCGGTTTTTATTATTTATTCGCGGAAAATATTTCCAGGTTCGAAACGAGCTCTAGAAAAATTTTCGCGTCACGGTAAGGAAGGAGGCGTGAACTTCCTGGTTAAATGCACTTCCACAATGGTCTGTGACAAGACCATTAGGTCTTCTTGGGGCACCTAAATAACAACAACAACAACAACAACAACAACAACAACAACAAAATGGGGTACTTTTAACCCCCTCCCCCTCCTCCCTCCCTTCTAAAGAAGTTAATTTTCAAGTTATAGTCGCTTTTTTTGCGAATATTGTCGAGTAGTTAGGTATTTAACACAATTAAGTCAAGTGAATTTTATTTTTGGGGACCTTTTTATTTTGTTTTGTTTTGTTTTTAGGAACCAGTTGGTACTTTATAAGGATTCAACCCCCACTCCCCTCATTTTATTTGGAGAATCAATCAAATAATAGTCAATTAATTAAAATTTTATATAATATTGTAAAAAAAGTTTTTATTAACTTATTGTTCTACGATTTGGGGTTGATGAAACAAGCATAACATTCATTTATTAGTTTAATATTTAAATATTTAGTAAATTAGGTGAAACAATCATAACATTCATTTATTAGTTTAATATTTAAATATTATTAAATATTTAGTAAATTAAAATCTCTGGAAAGTCAAAACATGACATTTGAATTGAAAAAGAAAATACAAATAGTTTCTAATTTTAACGTTGTGTAAACGTAAACTATTTGCAATGACTAAAATACATTTTGCTGGTATCAAAATCAGTATAAGGTCCATTTGTTTTTTGAGCAAATAGAAAAAAAAATTTGCATATGAAAATAAAATCATTTCAAAATGAAAGAAAAACACTGTAAAAAAGCTTCGTTATTTTAGGCACGTTTCTTTCCAAATACACATTTTTATGCACGTTTTAATAAATACATTAAAAAATTACAGGGTTTATGCGAAATATAAAACATTTTTTAAGAAAATATAAAGCATTTTTTAAGAAAATATAAAACATTTTTTAAGAAAATATAAAACATTTTTTAAGAAAATATAAAACATTTTTCAAGAAAATATAAAACATTTTTTAAGAAAATATAAAACATTTTTAAAGAAAATATAAAACATTTTTTAAGAAAATATAAAACATTGTAGTTGAATCAATAGTGCAATTATACATAAAGTTATTCATAAATTTCTAAAGAATAAAGAGTATCTTTTATATAATTATAACTCATTATACTTAAAGATATAATATAAAAAGCAAAGTATCCACTTTAGTAAAATTCTTGTCTTGCTATGCCTTTCAAAACCCATCTTCTCATATTATAATACCAACCACAAAAATCAACGCCAATTGTCGGTATAAGCGAATTTAAAGTAGCCTTAACTTCATTGCTAGTTTTTGGAAACGGCCTTACAGAAGTATAATTAGCTTTAAGACAACTAAAGTATTCCTCAATCGGGTTCAATTGTAGTGAATAAGGTGGCAAAAAGTAAACTGAAACACTGGATTGGCTGAGCAAATTGATTACATCTCTTCTACGGTGAAATGCACAATTATCCAATACTAGTACAGAATGGGGATACGTTTGGAAATACGGTCTTAAATTGTTGGTTATAAAATCGCAAAAAAGATTGCCATTTTAGGCACCATCCACTATCTTAAAGCTTAAAATACCATTAACTGTTATAGCGGCCATGAGACTTACATTCTTTCCACGATTTGCTGGCACTGTAACAAAACATTTTGTATTCTTTATAGAATAACCATACTGTTTAGAAGTATGTAAATTAAAGCTTGTTTCATCTAGAAACACTAAGTTATTGTCAGGAATCGAATTAATAGTCCTGCAAAAACTTTGTCTTAAATCAATGTTTTGCGGCGAGTTCCTTTCTTTTGGTACTAATGTAAGTCGTTTTCTAGTGAACTCCATCGACTTCAAATATTTAGATATTGTTGGTATAGATGCATTAATATTCCTTTCAACGAGAATGTTTCTCAATGATGCTAACGTATGAGATGGGTCATGCTCAATTAACATTCGAATTTCAGATTTAAGTGTCTCGTCATAAGAGCTGCGCCTTCCTTTTTTTACTGATGCGATTTCATCATCACTAAGTCCTTTACAGATTTTATCAGAAATAGAACGCGTTGCAGAAACTGATATTTCAACTTCTTCCGCAATTTCTTTTAACTTCATTTCTTTAAGAATTGACTTTCTTATTGTTTTTACAATATCCTTTGTAATAAGTGTTCTTTTTTTTCTTTGTCTCTTGTTTTCCATTTATTGATTAAAACAACAAAATAAAGCTTGAATAATATATTTTTACAGATCTCTTTCTTTGTTGTGAATAAACCACATAAATTCCATAGTACAGAGTAATTACGTAATTGAATATTTTATGTTAAAATATTAAACATTTAATTAACTAATTAAATGTTTTATCTTAGCATAAAATTTGTTTTATATTTTCTGTAAAAATGTTTTATTTTTTCTTAAAAAATGTTTTATATTTTCTTAAAAAATGTTTTGTATTTTCTTAAAAAATGTTTTATATTTTCTTAAAAAATGTTTTATATTTTCTTAAAAAATGTTTTATATTTTCTTAAAAAATGTTTTATATTTCGCATAAACCCTGTAAAGTTCTAAACCAAATTATAGAGATCGCTTAAAATACTTAAACCACCACAATAAATTGTGATGTGCTTTTTCGATACATTTACTCTAAAGAAGAGCTAGACTCTGAGATTTTCTGAATAATGTTTTTATTTTAAAATAAATCCGAATATTTTATTAACATACAGTTTCCCGGAGTAGTGGGATGAACAGAAAATTCAAAAAAGATTAAAAATTTCATAAAAAAGATCAAAAAATTCAAAAAGACAAAGACCGTTAATTTATAATTATGATTTTATTGAAGCATACAAATTAACGTGATAGCAGTATATTAGTAGATTTTTTTCTTAGCAAACTTGAATTTGTAATACTAAATCCATGTTTCTCACTATGATAAAGTAAATATATCTAAAGAAAAACATTCCTAAATAAAATTTCTTTATTATGAAATTTTATTCAAAGCATTTAAATTTAGAACAAATAGTAAGAAAAAAACTTAAAAAGTTAGAAATAAGTCGTAAAAACCCGCTGTTTTGACTAATGGCTAATTATTTTGTTTAAGAAAGCCGTTATTGGTTTTGTGTTTTATTTTTATTAGGAAACACGTGGTGTCTATGTACCAAGTCTATGGTCATGTTTGTATGTAAGTACTATAGAGTCAACTATTTGACTTATATTATAGAAAATGTGTCATATAGGTTGTATCATTTCCGGCATTCAGAAAAAATAAATAAGTTTGCTTTTAGTTCGCGATCACTTCTAAATTTAAAAAGTGTAAGAACTAACTTTGTCTCCGAAATTGATTTTATTAAGTTTTTATCTTAAGAGTATGCTTATATTTATATTGCTTGGATTTATTTGTCATCTGTCTTCTTGCGATGACAAAGGTAACTCTTTTTACATACTTATTAAAACAATAAAAGTCAAATTATTCAAGCTTTCCCAAGTTATTTCTTTGAACAATTATAGTTTCTTTACTTTAGAAATCAGTTTTAAACTTGTTACCGTGGCAACTGAACAAACTGATGGATTCAAACGATTTATGAGATCCGCCAATGTGTTTGGCCTTGATGTGGAGGTATAAAATTTTAATAATAGCATTTTTAGTTCTGATATGCTTTGTAGTTTTTTTAGAATTTTAAAGTTTAACGAAAGTATCTACTTGTCAAATTGTATGAGACATTATCTACATATGATATCCAAAAAAAAACATCTGAAATAGTTTTTTTTTAAATTCACAAATGATATTGATAGCCATAATCAAAGATCACTTAAATATGACATTGTTACTATAATGCCACCTATTATTTGATTGAACTAATGTTTAATCCAATCAAGTATTAGTCAATTTACTTATGGTTCAACTGTGAGTTAAGTATTTTTAAAAATCCATTCATAGCCCATTCATAACCAAAGGTTTATTCTCAATGAAAGTAATGAACTTTTTACAGAGCAATTGTTTTCTTTTAGTTTTCTTTTAGTTATTTTCTTTAGTTAAGTTTTTTGAACATACATAAACGCCCCACCCATGCTCAACATATCATTTGAAATGATATGTTGAGCATGTTATTTTTTTATACTAACATGCTCAACATATCATTTCAAAAACTAAGTTTACAACATGTAATTTAAAATAATAAATAACCAACTTGCTACAAAAACCGATTGATTGATTTTGGATATATTCTAAATACCATTTTGTATATAAATACTGTGTTTACAAGAGTAATTACAGCCTAAAAGTTGCACTTGCTGATAATAGAGCATTTATAAGTGTTAAAATCAGAGTTATCAATTGTAAAATAGGACATTAAAAAAAAAAATATATATATATATTTAATATATGTATCATTTTAATATATGTTGTATGCAATTCATGCATTATATTGATGGTTTACAAAATCATTAGCTGTTTCTTAAGGTAAATAGTCAAGAGTATTGACTTTAATTTTATTTTTTGACATTATGCAAAGGCTATTGATAAGAACACTTTCTAGTGTATCAAACCCAAGAGTATAACCAATTAAATTAGCAACAATCCAAAAAGTTAACTTAACAAATTGTTAAACTTTACTGTCTTTTATAAAGTCATCTGAAAAAGAGATTAATTACAGGATAATAAACAATCCTAGTATTTACAAAGAATATAACCAAATTGAGCCTTATAACTTATTTTAAAATTAAAAAAAAAATTGTGCTCATTTAAAAGGTATTATAAATTTTAACTTTTCTATCATTTAAAATAATAATATTTTAACTCATCTATAGAGACAACTAAATAAATGAAAATACTAAATAAATAAAAATATCAATATAATGCATTAGCAGCATAGAGAATTAAGCTAATGAAAGGCAGTATTAAAACTTCCACATGAAATTAACAATGGTTAAATAACAACTGCAAATTTCTAACTAGTAAAATGCTAATAGAAATAACTAGAAACAAGAAAAGTGAGTATTCATGTTTCAGTTAAATATTATGATTCTTTAAAGCCAATATATTGACTTAATATCTTTTTCTCTTATGTTTAATTTTAACACACACACTACACACACTCACACACGCACACACATACACACACACACACATACACACACACACACACGTACATGCAAACATGCAAACATATCATTGCAACATCAGATGTTCAAAATTTTTTTAATTTTACAAAAAGCAGTATCCAATGGTGAGTCATCACCAAATTGCCATTGTCACAATTTAAAACATTTTATTTCAATGGCCTCACATTGTATATAACTGTTTAAAATAACAGAAGGCGTTTTAGGATTCTCACAATTTATTTTACCATTACAATGTTATGAATGTTCTACTATTTCAGATGTATCCCAGTTGGCTTTTGTAACATTCTTTTTATGTTCATGAATATGTGTAAAAATCTTTTTTCTTGTTTTACCAATATAACATGCATTACATGTGCATTGTGATACACTCCTGGATGACTATGATGATTCTTACTGTGCCATGTTGTCAAAGATTTGCAACCGAGGGTTTATTGTTGGTGTAAAGGTTCAGTGCACATATTAAAAAAACTATGATAAACACAATTGACAATGCTCAAAACAATTGATTGTTTATTTTCAAAATAAAATTCTACAATTATTGATTGTTTTTCTGCTGTGTAGTGTTCCATTTTAAATTCCCCAAGTTTTCTTCGCAAAATTTCGAAATAAAAATAAAAAATTTAAACGAATTTAAAAAGTTTAAACATTCAAATCATTATTGCATTATTGCACAATAATGGTTTGAATGTTATATATATATATATATATATATATATATATATATATATATATATATATATATATATATATATATATATACATATATATATATATATATATATATACATATATATATATATATATATATATATATACTATATATATATATATATATATATATATATATATATATATATATATATATATATATATATATATATATATATATATATAACATTCAAACCATTATTGTGCAATAATGCAATAATGATTTGAATGTTTAAACTTTTTAAATTCGTTTAAATTTTTTATTTTTATTTCGAAATTTTGCGAAGAAAACTTGGGGAATTTAAAATGGAACACTACACAGCAGAACAGCAATCAATAATTGTAGAATTTTATATATATATATATATATATATATATATATATATATATATATATATATATATATATATATATATATATATATATATATATATATATAGGGCCTATTCTAGGAAAAAAATGTTGGCGACGGTATCCTCTCGTTTTTGGCAGACTTTAGCGAAAAATCAGCATTTTTTGCGTGAAAAAACAATATTTGCTGTAAAAACATAAAAAAACTTCAAAAGAAAAAAAAGATCCTCAAATTTTAATTTAGGTGGAGTAAAAAAGTATAAGAATTATAAAGATGGAGGAATATATATATATAGTCTTGCATGGTAGTCAAAATGTTTTTCCCATAAACTGTAGTTTTAAACAGAGCGCTAATAAACCAGACCAGAAACAGTTTGAAAACTTCAATAATTTTTTTTTCTTAAATGATAGACTGCCTACCAAAACCAAACCCTCAGATGTAGCAACACTCCGTTACGATTCAGGCTATAAAATAGTTGATGTAGCAACACTCTCTTGATGCAGCAGGAATTAAGGTAGTCGATGTAGCAACACTCATATTTTAAAAATGTATTTTAAACATGCATATTTTAAAAATGTATTTTAAATAAAACAAAAACAAAAACACCACTAATTAAAAAAAACTTTCTAATCATTATTATTGCGGGTTTTTTTAAAAACAATAAAATTTAATGTACTTCTGCATTAATTTAATTTATACTTTAAGTGAATTATACCTTAAGTGAAATAAATTACATCAAAACTTTTAACAAATGTTTTTATAATTGCAAAACGCTTTTAAATAACAATTTTAACAATCTACTGATGTGTTTTTTTAAAAGTATAATTGACAGTTGTATATATTTTTTAATTTATAATATATAAATTGCTTAAGTGTGCTTTTTTTATAAAAAAAACTTTATTAAAAAATAAAAAATTGTTTTGTTTTTATAAACGATGACATTCTACGACAACTAAAGTGTCTGTAACAAATTTTAATATAAGAATAATTAAAGCTTATACATTTGAAAAGATAAACAAAATATTGTTGAAATAAAAAAAAGAAATTTTTAGATAGCCATTACAATTAAATAAGTTTGATCTTAAATGCTTTTATATTATGGAAAAATTTTATAATGAAGTAACAAAACACTTTCTAATTAACTTTTATAATAAGTATTAATAAACTCTTTTCTTTTTTTTTTGCTTATATAGTTATGAATTTTTTATGATAAATGTTTATCTTTGGAAACATATTTAAAAACCAAAAAACAAAGTACAAATGTTAAAACAAAGAATGAAATGGTTTTTTAATTCGTAAATTAAATAGACTAAGCATTTTAGTTTTTTTTTTAATTTTTTTTTTTTTTTGTGTGTTTTTGCTTTAGTTAATTTTTTGTTTATTTTCTCTTTCGTCAAGATTTTTTTCTTTTTTAAATTTTTTTTTAGGTAAGTTTAAGTAAGTTTTTGTAGCGCATTTTTAAATTTTGAAAATGTCAAAAGCCATGGTCAAATCGTCAGAACAAATGACTTTTTGCGTGGTCATATAATTGCGTGTGATTGCACATCTTCCTTCGAAATATTATATATATATATATATATATATATATATATATATATATATATATATATATATATATGTGTTTGTTTTAGTTCAGAAACATTGGCCGTGTTTGTTTTAAACAATTTTGCTGTTTGTTAACTAAAATAAACTAAATGTCCTACGCTCTTGTATATATACGCAGTTAATATAAAATGGAAAATGTATTGATAACCAAGTTGATTCTATTTTTAAATAATTGTATAAGTTTTAAATTGCAATTTATTGCTCATAAGAAGTAATTAAAAATCATTATTTAAAGTCTTGTAAAAAGCATTTTACCTTATATAGAGTTATATAAGGCTGGCAAAAATTCATTATAGTGGGGTTGAACTATGCTAGAACTAGTTTTGCTTTAGCTTCTTTTTTTGCATTAAATAATTCATATACTTTTTGAAAAATGTGGTTCATGTATTTAGTTTTAAGTAATTAGTAATAAAGCTTATAATTAAGCTTATTATTTTAGTGCCCTTTTTTTGAATTGGCAAAAAAAACATCCATAATTAACAATAAATGCATAAATGTATGGTTTTCTGTTTTGTTTTTTTTAAATAACACACAATAAACAGTTTTAGAGTAGTGAATGAAATTTCAACAGTCAAACTGTTTTAAGAAATCTTAGCCTAATTAATGCTAATAATTTCCTTTGTTTGTTATTATTTTATTAATTATCATTGTTTTTATTATAAGATTTTACAATTATTATTTACAAATAAAAGTCTTAAAGTTAAAGTTTACTTAATTTTTCCTTTAGGTTTATGGTTTAAATGAAAAATGGGAAGGTGGAGATTTAGAGAATGGGCCTGGTGGTGGTCAAAAAATTAACATTCTTAAAGAAGCTTTAAGAAAATACAAAAACAATGAAGATCTTGTATTGATGTTTACAGATTCGTAAGTTATCATTGTTTCTATAACATTGTTTTTATAGTGTTCTTTCTATAACGTTTTTTTTTTTTTTTTATAATGTTCTTTCTATAACGTTCTTGCATATTCTTTAATGAGCTCTAGCACATTAAATCAAAATTTTCAACATTATATATAAAAAAATATTAATGAAGTTTCAATTTATTTTTTGATATTGTTGGTATTTATTTAAATGCATTGTTATGGATGTTGTTATGAATGTTGTGGTTGATTTGTACTTTGTATGCTGTTATTACTATTTTATACTATTTTAAGAAAAATTTATTATCATCATTTTCTTCTTCATCATCATTATTGTCTATCATTTCAGTCACAGACTTTCTAAACTATTTAATAAGTGTTTAAAGAAAGTTTTCTGTTTGCTGTAAAAATTAGAGATTACTCTGTCATCTGATCACCTGTCATGCAATCAGTTTTCTTACTATTATAAGAAAAGTCAAAAAACATTTCATAAAATTACTGAATCTTTTCATTTGTGCCATTTTTTTACCCCTGATTACTCCATCTTTTATCATAGATGAGTTTTTTCCGGAAATTCCCTGAATTCCGGAAATTCACACCTTTAATTTTTCAAGGAATTTTCAGATGTTTTTTGATATTAATTTAAAAAAAAATTAAAATGTTTTTACATAAAATTTTACATACAACAACTTTTGCATTTAAACAAATATGTTTTTTATAATTAAAATTTTCACAAGATCGATTTTTGTAACAATTTTTTTTCCTTCATCTTTTTTTGCTTTTTAATTCATTCAAACATTTTCGAATATTAGAAATTCCTTTTTGTAAAAAATTAATATAAATTCCGTTTTAAAATAATCTAAATTCCGTTGTCAGTTAAATGCGATCAATTTTTGATAAAACAATTTTCCGGGATTGTCAAAGAAAAAAAATTTCCGGGATTTTCATAAAGTCAAATACTTATCTATGCTTTATAATTCTTATATTTTTTTACTCCTGATTCCTCCATCTTTATAATTCTTACATAGCTCCTTGTATTGAATACTTTTTTTTCTGATTATGTCTTGTCTCGATTGGACAGAGTTTTAAAAGGTTTAAAAATTTAGTTTGAATTACACTAGCATCCAGGCTTTTTTTTCTTTGTTTTATAATTATCTCGTTTTTTCTATAAATACTACCATGGTTACTGCTTGAGCTCCTTAACTCTTGTTCCTTAAACTAACACTCAATTTTGTGTGGTTCATAATTTTTCTTGTTTTTTTTTTTTTAAGTATACTCACCTGCCCAAAGATAAGGGGACACTAGAGTTGAGGAGGCTGCTCTTATTTTATTTTGTAGCAAAGTTGTGATGTAACATTATGAATTTTATGCTCATCTATTTTTTTTTCCATGTATAATCTCTAATTTTTGGAGATATTTTAAAATATTATTCATAAAAATTTATCAACAACGCATGCTAGAACCATTCTTTTACTATGAATAACAAGTTGACATTAAAGAAGAGGATTGAAATCTTAACTAATTAAATAAATTGTGTTTACTCAAGGTGAGATATAAAAAGTTTTTAATGTATCTATAGTTAAAGTGTCTTCCTAATGATAGTTGAAAAATGTTTTATTGCAAACGAAAGTTTTAAATAAAGAACTTTTGTACTTTCTCTTTATAAAGTTGTCTAATTTTTAAAAGATTTTTCTTTTGAATTTTTATTATATAATTTTTTCTTTCCTACCATCCAAATTATTATTTCTCTTATTTTTACTATATATATTTTTTTTAGCGTTTTTTATTAGTTTTCCCATCATTTAGAAATAATTTTTTGATTTTTGCCTATAATTGTTAGGCTTAGGGGCATTAAAAATCTAATTTAAATTTATATGTATATATAAAAATATAATGATGTTCATATATATTATGTGCAACATTGTTTTTTTAGTTATGATGTAGTAATAAATGCTGGAAGTGATGAAATTTTGAAAAGATTTTTAAAAACTGAGGCAAAAATTCTCATCTCAGCTGAAGACTATTGTTGGCCTGACAAATCTTTAGCGGTATATGTTAATTTTTTTTGTTTTTGTTTTTTGTGTTATTCACCTCCCAAGGCCAAGAGAGCCACTACAATTAAGGAGGCTACTTTACTGTGGTTACTCCCTCTCTCAACTCTTTAACTCTGAAACATGAACCTTGACAAACAAAGTTGCAGAGTTACAAGTTGAATACAATACTACCAGGGACATTGTGGGGATAGAATTTGGTAGCATAGCACTTCACCACTACTGCATGAAAATGTTTTACAGCTTAAAAATACTTAATACTACTTATAAATACTACTACTACTACTACTACTACTACTACTACTACTACTACTACTACTACTACTACTACTACTACTACTGCTACTACTACTACTACTACTGATATTCGAGGGAAAAAACTAGAGGAATAAGAGTTTTTGGAGCACTTAAGAACAGTAACAGAAAAAGGATGAGACTTAATTGAATGACGAGTAACATGAGAATGAATTTTAGTAGATGGCACAAGAGACACTAGCTCTTTCGAGCAGTGCCCATTATAGTATTTGTAGAAAAGAGAAAGAGAAGCAACATTACGACGGTGTGACAGAGGTTGAAGGTTGGCTGCAAGAGCAGGTCCAACTATGTTTACAATGCGTTTTTGCACCTTGTCTAAAAGAGGAAGGGCATCATTAGAAGATTCGCCCCAGATATGGCAACAGTTTTCCATACAAGGCCGGATTTGAGATTTATAGAGATAAAGAATAGAATCCAGAGTAAGAAAGTGTTGAGCTCGATAAAGAGATGCAACTTTAGCAGATACTAATTTTGCAATGGATTTGATATAAGGTTTCCAAGAAAAATCAGAAGTAAGAGTTAATCCTAGAAGATGAAGGATAGATGACTCATCGAGTACATTACCGTTTATAAATATAGGAAGGTCTAAATTATTGCGATAATGATTAGCTGAAAAAAATTGAGTTTTATCTGAATTAAAGTTCACCAGCCACTGTGAGTCCCATGCTGTAGCAGAAGTGATATTCTTTTCAAGCTCAAATGCCCCTGCAAGCAATCAGAAGGAGTTGGCTTCTTATCGTGACAAGAGTAAATGGTAGTATCATCAACGAACAATGCCACCTTAGATGTGAGAATATCTGGAAGATTGTTAATGTAAATTAAAAAGAGTATAGGGCCAAGGATTGAACCTTTAGGAACCCCTGAGGTTACAGAATAATAAGAAGAGTACTGTCCATTAAGGACAACTTTTATACTACAATTGGAAAGGAAGGATTCAATAATCTTAAAGGTGTTTTCAGATACACCGTAAGAAGAAAGCTTATGGAGAGGACCAGCATTCCAAACTTTATCAAACACTTTAGAAATGTCAAGAGCAATGGCCTTAACCTCTCCACCTTTATCTAATGCGCGATAAAACCTATCAGCCGTAGAACGAAAAGATCGAAATCCATATTGATGATCAGAAAGTAAGTTATTAGATTCATGATGAGGGATTAAGTGTTTGTTAATTAAAGATTTAAAAACCTTGCTTATGATAGGAAGAAGACTAATGGGACGGTAGTTAGACAAATCAGATCGCTCTCTAGAATTTTTAAAAATAGATAACAGATGCTGCTTTTTAGCAGGCTGGAAAACAAGACTTTGATAAGCACTTGTTAAATAGTTTTGAAAGGATAGACGACAGCTCCGGAAAACACTTCTGCAAGACTATAACAGGTATGTTGTCTGGGCTGCAAGCAGTAGAAGAGTCTATGCAGGAAATCACTTTAGATACAAAAGCTAGAGTGATATGAATGTCGAGCAATGGATCAACCTGTTTGACGGCTATATCAGGTAGAAACACAACTATTTGAATCAAGAGATGATATTGATGAAAAGTTCTTAGCAAACAGATCAGCTTTGTCTTTAGGTGAGGTGACAAATTCTGAACCATACAAAAGACGTGGAATTACAGACTTGCCCTTATTATTGATGCTATTAAAAATTTTCCAGAAGTAACGAGAGCCTAATTTTTGAAATGAAATACGAGATTTCATGATCTGAGAATAGCAGGCTTTGGCGTTAGACAACCTTTTTACAATGGTTCCTAGCAGTAATCAACAGACGTCTGTTTTCTGGAGAATTGTTTTGCTGATAGATATGGAAGTAATGGTTTCGATTGGCAATTGCAGCAGCACAATGTGAGGAAAACCATGGAGAATAGTGAGGCTTGACCTGGAATCGTCGAGAGGGAATAAAGGATTCCATGCTAGCCTAAATCCACAAAGTTATTTTAGAATACATTTTAAGTCTCTATGAAAATATGCTTTGTTTGAGACTCATGTTAAAATACTTTTGAATAATTTTTTTGTTGTATAATATTTATAATAACAATATTATGAATATAGTTAGTTGAATAAAACTGATATATAGTATTAATTACTATCTAATAAATATTTAATAACGATATTAAATTTATTAACATTTATTAAGCATATACAATAAATTAAGGTCAAATTTCTAAAATCATTTATTTTCAACAAATAATATTTGTTTGTTTTTTTTGTTTTTTTCTAGATAATATTAAAAAAGAATATAAAATCAAAACTCTACATTTGGACCCTAGTTTTGTGTTGCAAACCCAAAAAAAGCCAAGCGATTCATCAATAGGGATTTATATAATGGTAGATCCTATGAAAGCTCAAACTTTCAGTGTTTACTTATAATATAGCAAGATACTCATTGAAACAAAGTCATAAAGTTAGCTTAAACCATGAAAAGAATATAGCATAAACAACTAATTGGCCAAAATTTATCCCAAGCTCACGTTAGAACCCCATAACTCTCCTCAAAAAAAAATTTTTTTTTAATATATTGCCTTAATGAGTTTATCATATATATTACTACAACTGTACAACTGTAACTTACAACTGTAAAACTGTAATTTACAACTGTACAACTGTAACTTACAACTGTACAAGTGTAACTTACAACTGTACAAAATTTTAAAGCACCATTACAAGTAGTTCTTAAGTTATTTATTGCAGCATGCTAAAAAATGGCATTTTGCGAAAAAACTAATTTAAGATAATTAAAATTAGCCCAAGCCCGTCAAGATTAGAATGTGTTGGTAGGGTCTTTTAATTTTTTTTTCTCTTCCAAATAAAAAAATACTGTAACATTAGTGGAAGATGAATATGAAATCAACACAAAATTAAATTGGCTTTACAACGACACGACAAATTAAACTTTGATTATTAAGAATTATATGTTTTCATATTATTTTAATCGGTATATCCTATATATTATTGGTAAACTTAATTCTTTTAGTAGTAGTAGTAGTAGTAGTAGTAGTAGTAGTAGTAGTAGTAGTAGTAGTAGTAGTAGTAGTAGTAGTAGTAGTAGTAGTAGTAGTAGTAGTAGTAGTAGTAGTAGTAGTAGTAGTAGTAGTAGTAGTAGTAGTAGTAGTAGTAGTAGTAGTAGTAGTAGTCGTAACAGTAGTATTTCTTTTAATAATAATAGTAGTATTTCTTTTTGTCGTAATTGTAGTATTTTTTTTGATTATTTTAAAATACAAAATGCTTTTGAAGTTTTATAGAGATTATATTCAAACATATAAAACAGTATTATACAATTTAACGAACGAAAAGATTTTAAAAAAGCTTAAATTTCTAAAAACATCAAAACACTGAGAAAAATTTTTTATTGCATATGTGTCATAATTGAGATACTTATGTTGTTAATGTGCTCAGGTAATTAGTCTTAATAAGCTGTGGATGGTCTGAAAAAAAGGTTGTCTGAAAACTATAAAAAAAAAAAGCTTTTGAAGACAGTCCTGCTACTTTAGAAAGTGCTGCTGTGAAGACAAAAAAAAAAGACTTTTTTGACAATTAAAAGTTTTTTTTGCTACAATTATTTTTTTACTATAAAATATATGCTGAAGTCGTTTTTCAAAATGCCTTAATATGCTTATTACGTATTTCGAGATAAATGCAATTAAAAAAAAAAAAAAAATTAACTCTTTGTAAAACATTTTTTGAAACAAATAATTTTTATAAATTTTTTCAGAACTCTTTGAAAATATGTATTCAATAACGTTTGTAGACATATAAACTAGCTTATTTTTTAAAAAAAGTCAAAATTGATTTTTTTTACTGTAAGGCGTTTTGAAAAATGGCTGCAGAATGGATGATACAACAAATATGTTGAAATGAGATAATTTGACGCAAAATTTAAAAGCTCTAAAAATCTCACAAAAGCCACTAAACCAAAAAAATTAAAAGTAATTGCAGTTCAGTGCACTTGAAAATTTTAATATAGTATGTTGGTGTTTGCAAAGAAACTATTTAAATCATTTTTTAATTTTAATATAAAATAATTTTTTTTTTAAACTTTGTTGCCCTCAACCATCCCTATATAAACAATGTATGTATAAATAAGTATGTTATTTGTTTATATATATATATTGTTTATAAAATGTAAAAAATCCACTTATATAATGTTTTATTCAGGATCATATATAATTTAAGTAAACTTTTTAATTTCTGGTTGCTAAAATTATGTGATCTGCTTTTTAGACCTTTCAAAATGATAGTCATAGAAATAAAATTATTTTATTTCAATTTTTTTTAAAAAACTCTTTCTGTTAAAGATATATAAAAAATATATTTTTATGGGATATATACAAATAAAGACAAAAACTATTTATTTATTACTATTGTAATAAATACAATCTCTTATCCGTGAAAATGATATATCTCTACAAGTTTTATATATTTTTTTGCATTTGTATGCAGCATAATTAAAATTAATAAAAAAATGTAAAATAAATGCAAAAGGAAACTTGCCCCATAAAGTTTTATTTTGCCACAAACTGACGTCAATGCGCAAAATCTTTTTTGCTTAACTTTTAGATTAGCGTTTAATAATATTCTTTAGTTCTTAATCATAATCATAAGAATGAATTTTTTTTTATGACTATGTTTTAGTGTTCTAAGATCTTCTTAGTTCCATTTGTATAGCGTTATGTACAAATGTCTGTAAGTGTAAACGTCTTTAGCATATGTTGAGTTTGCAGGCATTTTATGGAATAATTGCGTATATCTATATATCTACAAAATTAGAAAACTTTAAAATTTTATTTAAATTTTTTTTTACCTTATATATTATCTTATATATCTATAAAATAAGAAAACTTTAAAATTTTATTTTAAATTTTAGAAATCTTTTTTCAATATTATTATGTTTTTGCTATAAATATATATATGCAAGATTGAAAAAATTTCAAAACATATTATGCTAAGAGGAGGTCTTAAACCAAAACAACACTGATGACAGCGCACTTAATCACTGAGCTATTAATGAAATGTATTTAGCAGAAAAACAATCCTAGTTATAAGTCTCTTCTAAGCTTTACGTATGCGGAAAAAAGATTAAGTTTTTTGCTTTTAAAGTTTTTTTTCAGAATAAATTATTTTACTAAAAAATATTTAAGTAAATAAGGAATAGGTATAAAATAATCAGTAAGGAATAGATGTAAAATGTGAGGAATAGATGTAAAACAGTTTAAAATAGATTTACAAAGACCCGTATTTTTTTGGGTTAGATCTCAGGTAATATTAATTATTATTAAGAATTATGTATTTGAGTTTGTTTTAACCTTAAAATTATTCTTTTAAATATATATTTCTTTTTCATTGGTGGCCATTCATGTACATTCTTTTAATACAAGCAAGCAGTAAAGTAAAAGAATCTATTTTCCTTGTTAAATAAATTTCTAGTACCTGTTTGTTATAACCATAAAACATTTTTTGTATTTAACTTATATTTCAGCGGCGTTTTTTTTTTAAAGTTAGTTGAGAAAAAGTAATGTATAGGTAAAAAAAAGATTTTAGTCGATGCGACAATTCAATTGATATAAACTACCAAAAAAAAAAAAAGAAGAGCAATAACTAAAAGACTTACTGTAATATTCGCATTGATCAAAATTTTGTATCTGGCACAAACAGCTTCTCAATATTTTGAATAAACTTATTTGACAAAGAATTTTTTTAAAACTTGCTTAAAATTTCTGTCATCTTTTATACTTATACTGACAAATTGTCAAAATGTGTAGACTAAATAGTATACAATATTTTATTACAGAATGTAGTTACTATTGCAAAATAATATTATAGACTAATTTGTAAACAACACTTATACAGAGTATGTGCAAAAAGATTCCTTTTGCAGTAATACCTTAAATTATAACTTTTTTTTTGCATGGAAGTTAAATAAATGAAAAAGCTACTTTTTATTAAACTTTAACAAAAAGTAGTTTAAACTAAACAATAATTTATTGAGACAAACACTATATTTATTACAAATTTTAAAAAATCTTATCACAAATCTTAACAAAAAAAGTCAGTATATGTGAGCTGAGCAAATATTTTAAAGTTACGCAAAATTTTTTTAATACAAGCTTTTTCTTTTTTTACCTCAAAGTCATTTGTAGTTATTTTTATATTTAGTCTTTTAATACAGTCTTCTCCAACAACATTATTTTTTGTTATCTTCTTGTTTATTAAAATGTTCTGTCTGAAAGTTTTCTGAATTTTTCTTTAGGTAAAGTATCCCAAAGTAAATGTTGGATATAAATACCTATGTTCTGGTGGTATGTTTTTGTTTTTATTGTATTTGAATATGTGCATATATAAATATATACATATAAATATGTGTATGTATATATATATATATATATATATATATATATATATATATATATATATATATATATATATATATATATATATATATATATATATATATATATATATATATATATATATATATATATATATATATATATATATATATATATATATATATATATATATATATGTATATATATATATCCCTTGGCAGTAATGGCAGATGATTGCCCGCCCCCCATCCACACACATGTAAGTTTGAGTTATATGCACCTAATTCCGAGAGTTGTATATGTATATATTAAAATAGAATTTAAAAATTTAAAAAATGTCAAATGCAAAATTTATTTTAACAATTTTTCAAGAAAACGATGCTTGAATAAATAAATATTAGGAAAAAAATGATTGCTGGCAATTATTTTCTGATGTATTTATGATATACTAACAATTAAATTGTGTAAAACTAAAAAATTAATACTAAAGCGTAATCAATTTTATTATATCAATAACCTTTTTTATCTAAACATCAAAAAAGCTTCCGTAAATGCTTTTTGCCCGCGTCACCCGTCATATCCCTACTATATGGGTGATTCACCGCTCATGCACTTAATTACTTCTGCCGGGGCCTGCATATACATATATAAATAAAAAATTTTAAATTGTTTTTTATAATTTGGTTGTATTTTTTAATTTATTTTAAAGAAAATTTTTTATGTATTCATAAAATCAAATATTTTTAGGAATTATCGGTTACGCAAATAAAGTTTATGAAGTTTTATCTGCGAAACCTGTAAACCACACTGATGATGATCAATTGTACTATACACAAATATATCTTGAACACAGAGTAAGTTTTCAATTGAAGATATTGAATAAAATCTCTATTTTATTATGTTCAAAAAATAACTTACAAACTATGAATTATTTTTATGTTTATTATTTGTCTTATATAATAACGTTAGCTTTCAAAATGTATGAATATTTTATCAGTTAGTAATTTGAAGTTTTGGTGGGAAAGAATTATATATTTTTTATAAAAATAATAATTTTTACTGCTAAATGAAAGATTTTCATAATAAACTTTTCCATGCATTTTTATCGCCTTATTGGATGTTTATATTAGCCCATTGGATTTTCTTAGCATCTCATTGGATTATCTTGAAATTTTATTTTTTCTATGCTAAAAAATATTCTTTTTTTCATTTAATTTATAGTACAGTAATTTAAAAAGTGCTAAAATTTTTGTGTTAAAAGATAACTCAATGTTGTTGCAAAAGATCTTTATTTTCATTTACGTGGAAACCAGCTCCAGTATTCTCAAATAGAGCTGAAGTAGCAGTAAGTTTTTCAACTACAGCTACGTAAAAGGATTCCAAGTAAAAATTCATGTAACTTGTATGTAACATAAAAATATTTTTTCTCTTAAATACCTGTTGGTACAAGACCTGTTATTACATGATATCTGTTGTTGCACATTAACTTTTGTTGCATGACTTAATAGTGATTTAAGGGTTGTTTGTGTTTTTTGGTCTTTTTTGTTGTTTGTCTTTTTTGTTCAATGCCTTTTGTCATAATGGAATTCTTTTATTCAGCCTGTTTTAGTATTTTTATATTTTTGTTTTTTTGTTTGGTGTTTTGGATGTTTCAACAAAAGCCCTCATGTTTGTTTTTAATTTTACAATTTTTTAAGTAATTATTTTATTTAATTTATTTTTTAAAAAGGAAAAATACAACATTAAGTTGGATAATAAAGCAGAACTATTTCAAAATCTAAATGGCAATCAAGGTGCGGATTTTTTTAACTTTATTTTTAAATTGTTGTGTTGATTATGTATAAGTATTTTTTGTTTTGTTTTGTTCTGAGTTAAAAAAAAATTTATCAATAATATTTAGATTATTTGTTTTTACTTAACCTAATTAATTCTTTAAATATTGAAATAAATTCAGAAGCATTTTTATATGTATTTTAAATAAAACATCAAAAGAAAAAAAAAAAATTTTAAACATATAGCCAAATTAGTAATTTAATAAACTTGTTCATGAAATAAAAAATTTCAATGTTTTCAGTCTAATTTAAACGAAATTATTAATTAGTGCAGTGACTTTGACTGATAATTATTATAACTTTTAATAATATTATTGATTAAACAGTAAACCTTCAACATATACCTCGTTTATATTCAATGCAATACAATTCAATCAAATTATCTAAAAAAGTGTTTTACTATCTTCCAAAACATAATAACAAAAGTTCTAAACAAAAGACTTTTGAAACATTGTTTAAATAAGTTGTAAAAATAAAAGAATTAGTTTTAAAAACTTTATAAACATACCATCTTATATAGAGAGCTTTTTTAGTTACAAAACTTTTGGGTCTAAAAATTTTTTAGTTACAAAACTTTTAGGTCCAAAAAATCTAAAAAAGATTTTAGTTAAAGTTTTCCAACAAGATTTTTTATTTCTGAATTTTGTTATAAATTGTTTTTTTGTTTGTTTTTATGCATTGTTCTTAGGGTCCTCGTTATTTTATGCATTGTTTTTAGGGTCCTTGTTATTTTGCACTATTAAATCTCAGGATTCAATTATTTTTTTCTAGATGATGTAGAACTTCGCTTTGATGGTGATAATCATTTGTGGAACAAGAGGTTTGGTACATATCCAATTGTTATACATGGAAATGGTCCAAGCAAAGATTACTTAAGTCATCTTGGCAACTATCTTGGTGATTATTGGACATATGCAGATGGTTGCAAGTCATGTAAAGAAAACACATTTTTACTGCAAGATGTAGAGGTACTACTAAGAGATTTAATAAATATCTTGTAATATGGGTGTTTTCCAGGTCAGATTAGTTTTTTAGAGCTTTATCTAAAATTTCAGTACTGTCTGTCAGAGCAGGCATTATCTTAGTGTTTAGTTAATGAACTAAAAGAATCATGTTATTCAGTGAAAGAGTCATGTTATTATTTTGTATTTAATGGTATTAGTAACTTTGTAAATTTTAAACATGTGTAAATGCAAACCTTGTTTGGTTGATTTGTGCAACCAGAAAAGAACATATTAAACAAAACAAAGGGACACTCAAACTTATCAAATTTTTAAAAATTTGATAAATTTAGTAAGCTTTTTTTGGAGTTTGCATTAGGGTTATATCAGATATGGTACTTAGACAAATGGCAATGAACTTGTAAATAACACGAGTTCATTCACGAGTTCACATACACATTCCATCTCTCATTCATGGGACTGATCTTGTTACCTCTCCCAGGGATAAGGCAGAACTGTTTGCAAAGAACTTTTCTTCTAATTCCACTCTTGAATCTTATGGACATTCTCTTCCTTCCATTCCAGTCAAACAGGTTGACCCATTGTTAGACATTCAAATCACTCCAGCTCCATTCAAATCACTCCAGTCATATCTCAATTAAACTCGTGTACAGCTTGTGGTCCAGACAACATTCCTGTCACAGTCTTGCAGAATTGTTCTCCAGAACTTTCTTCAATTCTCTCTAAACTATTTAACAAGTGTTTGACTGAGTCTTGTTTTCCTGCTTGTTGGAAAATGGCATCTGTGGTTCCAATATTCAAAAACTCTGGAGAAAATTCTGACCCCTCCAATTATCGTCCGATCAGTCTTCTTTCTGTTATTAGCAAGGTCTTTGAGTCTTTGATCAACAAATTCCTCACATCTCATCTTGAGTCAAATAAACTGCTGTCAGACAATCAATACGGTTTTCGATCCTCTCGCTCTATGGCCGACTTGCTAACTGCTGTAATTGAAAGGTTTTATCGTGCATTAGATGGAGGCGGTGAAGCTAGGGCTATTGCTCTCGACATATCTAAAGCTTTCGACAAAGTTTGGCATGCTGGTCTTCTCCATAAGCTTGCTTCATATGGTGTTTCTGGGAAAGTTTTTGAGATTATCAAATCATTTCTTTCTAACCGGTTTATTAAAGTCATCCTTGAAGGCCAACACTCTTCTTTATTTCCAGTAACTTCTGGGGTTCCCCAAGGTTTCATCTTGGGCCCTGTTTTGTTTCTTATCTACATAAACGATCTTCCTGACAACCTTTCATCTAAAGTAGGTCTTTTTGCTGATGACTTAACTTTATACTCCTGTCTTGACAAAAAGTCTTCTCTTTTCGATCGCCTAGAACAAGCAGCTGATCTTGAATCTGATCTCACTTCAGTAATAGATTGGGGTTCACAGTGGCTTGTGAATTTCGCACTTCATTCCTTTGGAACTCTCTCCCATCTTCATGTTTTCCTGAATCATACAACCTTCAACTTTTCAAGTCTTCTGTCAACCGTTTCCTTGCTCTATAACTCTGTTCTTTTTTTTTCCTAGTAACTCCTAACTTAATAGTGGTTGCTTGCAGCCTTGTTGGGAGTGAATGCAAATAAAAAAAAAAAACACACTGGACAAGTTTTGTACATTTTTTATTTAGTTTTTAACAATTAATATTAAAACAATTTTAATATAAGAACTTAAATATTAGAAAAGTTTCAGTATTAGAGCATTTAATATTATTATTAATATTATAGCTTTTAGTATTATTAGAGCAGTTCTCCTATTTTGACCCTAGCTGGAGAAAACTCTTTTTCTTGATGCTTTAACTGATCTGATTGTATCTTTTGAATAATCAAAATTTGTTAACGCATTTTATCTAGTAACAAAAATCCCAACCTCCCTTTTCATTACTTAATCTTCCCTTTCCCATAATTCTGTATATAGGAATTTAGAGGAGGAGGTAAGGGGTGGGAGCAGGCCTTTTTTTAAAACCGTTTCTTTTGGGAAATGGTTTTAAGCAAAATTTGTATTGTTGATATTAAAAAAAAAAGTTTTTCAACATTATTTAGCCTGATTAGACATTCATAATTTGTATCTGGCTAGATACACAATAGACATGCATAAATTGCATCTGGCTAGATACAGATATTTTTATCCAGTATATTGTTTATATCTGGCTATATCTGGCCAAATATAGACATTTATATTGGCATCTTGAAGGATTTGAAAAGTCATATTGGTTGTAACAAGTAATGAGGATGAAATGGATTATCATTAAACAATTCATAGTAAACAATGTCTGAATTGTTTACTGATTTTTTTTTAGATCTTTTTTGTTTTATATATTTTTTGTTTTTTCTATTTTGTTTGTACAAAGGCGTAAGATTTAAATATTTTCTTTGATATTTACGCATATTATCAACTTATACAGATGTTTTGTATATTAGGTCACAAATTGGCCAAAAGTTCTTATTGGACTGTTTATTCCTGCACCAACTCCATTTGTCACGTCCTATCTTGAGCACATTTCAAACTTGGAATATCCCAAAGAAAAAATTGACATTTTCATTCATAGTGTGGTAATTGTTAATTAAAATAATTGATATGATAAATATATTAAAGTTTTTTTAAATATTTTCAACAAAAATATTAAAATAAATATTCAAATAAACATATTTACATTTTTAGGATCCTCATCATGATCCTCATGTTGAAGATTGGTTAAAAAGATTTGAAACCAAATATTTATCTGTGACCTATAAGCGTCCTACAGCATTTTTAACTGAAAAAGAAACACGACATCTTGCATTTGAACATTGCAAACATGTAAAATGTGATTACTATCTTTCTGTAGATTCTATTGTTACATTATCAAACACAAAAACATTGCAAATGCTCATCGAACAAAACAGGTTTTTTTTTTAATGTTTTAAAAGTATAATTTATTTCATTAGATAGTTGTATTGTTACAGGAATATATATATATATATATATATATATATATATATATATATATATATATATATATATATATATATATATACATATATATATATATATATATATATATAGTTGTATATAAAAATGTATATATATATAGTTGTATATAAAAATGTTATTAAACATGACAAAAAATATCAATATAAAACTGCCATAAATAAAAGATTAAAAAAACAAAAATAACATCTAAGCTAGTATTTAAAATATCCCCCACGAGCTTTTTTGCAACCAGCACATCTTTTTTGCATTGATTTATACAAGATTGTTGCAGATTTCGTTTCGAACTTTCCTCCAAACGGTATCTAATTCTTGCTTGAGACTATTTATGAATTGTATTTGCACCTTGACTAATTCTTGTCCATTCAAGCCCAAATAAATTCAATTGGATTCAGGTCTGGTGATTGAGCTGGGCAGGGCATTAAATCTACTTTGTTTTTTTCATCCATGTTTTGCTGTACGAGCTGCATAGGTAGTGGCCAAATCTTGTTAAAATTGCCACCATTTGTTTTGATCAATCAGCATGTCCACTAATGGAACCATGCAGTTCTCTAGCATCTCTCTCTCTCTCATGTATATATATATATATATATATATATATATATATATATATATATATATATATATATATATATATATATATATATATATATATATATATATATATATATGTATATATATATAATACAAAAAGTAAAACTTTAACCTTGGATCATACTTGACACAATAAAGTTTTGTTAAAAAAAAAAAATTATTATTGTACATAAATAGAAAAATAGGAAACATTAATATGAAAAATCTTATTTTTTTATTTTTATCAATTCAATTTAGTTTAAAACTAAAAAAATAGTGTTTATGAATAAATATATTAAACTCATTGAAGAAAATTTGGCTAATGATAAATTCAATCTAAAAAAAATTTATTAATATTTTTACAGAAAAGTTTAAACATTTATTAATTTGAAAAAAGTTTTATTTTTTATTTAGGACTTTTATTTCTCCGATGATTTCCAAGCCTGGTAAGTTGTTCTCAAACTTTTGGGGAAAGGTTGGTCAAGATGGATTTTATGAGCGCTCACCAGATTACATAGATATTGTAAAATACAATCGTAGAGGTGTATGGAATGTACCTTTTGTGTCTAATGTATATCTCATACAGTCAGATACTCTTAAAAAGTTCAAGTCAAATCCATTTAACTCAGATGAATTAGATCAAGAAATGAGTTTTTGTAGCAATGCAAGAAAACTGGTACTTTAATATTATTTTTCTAGTCTTTAATATTATCAAACAATTATATTAATAGGTTTTGGAAACAAAGTTTAACTATTATAGTTTTTGTTTTGCGACACAAGGGTTGAATTAAGCGATCGCAAAATGCAAAATCTGCAAATATATCTGGTCTTCAAAATTTTAGTTAATGCAAAACAGTGTTCTTTGTTTTCAAGGAGTGAATCAACTTTGTTAGCGAAATAGTTATAAAAAATAAAACAATAAACTTACGACTATAAAAGTAATAGCACTCTAGTCACTAACTGCATTATAAAAGTAATAACACTATAATAGTAATATAATAGTAACTTTTAAAGTTCATTCTTTGTTCAAACAGCATTTAAGTAATTGCAAACTTTATTTAAAGTAAAAAGACTTTATTTCAAGAAAAAATAAAGTGGATGTTTAAATATTATTAAAAACTTAAATGTGGGTATTTAAATATTATTAAAAACCAATAAAAATGTTTTATTGGTTGATTTTAAAAATAACACGTTTTTACGGACCATTAGTAACATTTTTCATAATGTTAAACTTTTCATAAAGTACGTTTTTGTAAAGTTGTTAAAGTTCCTACAGTTTTTAATATTATTTGAATATCCACTTTATTTTTTGTAGATGCTTTTCTATTTTAATTAAAATTGACTTATCTATTTTGAACAAAGAATAAATTATAAAAGTTATAAGTGCCTTATAAAAGTAATAACACTATTATAGTGTTTTTTAGTTGTAAGTTTGTTTTATTTTTTATAATTTTTTTGCTAACAAACTTAAGTTAATTCGCCCCTTGAAAATAAAGAACAGTGTTTTGCATTAACTAAAATTTTGAAGACCAGATGTTTTTCCAGATTTTGCGTTTTGCAATCACTTAATTCAACCCTTACGACATAATTTTTTATTTTAACTCATTTGAGAAACAATGGGTTGAAAAATAGCAACATTAGTTTTATGTTAATATTTGCTTTTTTAATTTTTGTTTTAGGGAATGTTTATGTACATAACAAATTTAGATTATTTTGGTCATATAAAAGAGGATGAATCTTATACAACACATCACAAGCATAATGACTTATATCAAATATTTGATAACAGAATTGTAAGTTTATTTTACTTTATTAGTTATTATTTTACTTTTATTAGTTTTTTAAAAAATTTCAATTTTTTATTTTTTTATTTTTCTGTTTGATTTTACCCCCGGTTTCAGTAATAATAATCCTGTTTATATAATATTCTCCTATAGTTCTACTTACAGGCAGAAATTATACAAGAAACAGAAACTTGCATTTCAAGTGTCTGTTTTTGTATAATATTTTATATTTTTAATATTTTTTAAACCAAAAAATATTAGTTTTATAAATCATTTCTATAGTTAAGTTAATTATTATTGCACATTTGGGTGTTTATTTAAATACCATATTTGACATTCATATATGTTTTATTCATACATTTCATTCATATATTCATTATATATCATTCATATATCAGAAAAAAAAAATGTTATCAGTAAAGAGGTTGAAGGAAAAAGAAAAAAAAGAAAAATTGCTGCAATAAAATTTACCTTACCTAGGAAGCAATATTGAGTACCACAATGTGATGGTACAAAAAATGATGCATTATGTATCACATAAAAAAAAATAATTGTAAATGTTATGTATGTATCACATTTACATGTGATACATACATAAAACATTTATTTATTATGTATGTATCACATTTACATGTGATACATACATAACATTTACAATTTTTTTTTGGACATCATTTTAATTCCTGAAATGAAATTGTAAAAAAAGTCTTTTCTAATCATCAAAAAAACTTCAATGTTTAAGGTAAGAATATGAGAACTTTTATGTAGGTTTGATACTTTTTTATTTTGAATCATTAAACATAGCTTTAAAGTTATAACTAAGGGGTTTGGGAACCATCAACAATTGGTTTCCAACAATTTTAATGTTTTATAAGTTTCTCTTATATTTTCATTTAAAGTTATTATAATTTTTTTTTTTAAGGATTGGGAAGACAGGTATTTACACCCTGAAATGATGTCATATTTAAATCCCACTTCTACACCAAATATGGTAATTATTTAGTTTATATTTTTATTGCATTAATATTACTTTGTATTCAGTGGCGCATTTGTGGCTATGGCAACCTTAGACATACAAATAGTCATCGTCCTATAACTCTTAATAAAAGTTTAAACAATACATATCTACAGTAAAAATTAATTACCTGTTGTTTTTGTTAATTTAAAAGTTGAGTATAAGGCAATAAAAAAGTATATTAATTTTATATTTTTAGCCATGTCCTGATGTTTATTGGTTTCCATTAACAACAAAAAATTTTACAAAGGAACTAGTTGAAGTTAGTTATTATTTTAAAAAATTCACTTTTATTATGATGTTTTGCAGGGATTTGACAATACATATTCGGTACAATTTTAATACTCTGACTTAAACTGGTGTTCAATAAAATGACTTTTCATTGTACCAAATAATGAAGTCAAAAGTAAAAATTTTTAATTTTACTTTTGTAAATGTTGTTCATTTTTGGTATTATTTGAAATTTTTTTTTTTTTTTTTAATGTGTTTTTGAATCCCGAATATTTTGGTATTTTGAAAAAAAAAGGAAAAGTTGTGTTTTTTAATTTATACTGTTTGGTGTATTAAGTTTTTTTTTGTTTATTTTTTCAACATCTTTACTTCCAACAAGGCTAAAAGCAGCCACTATTAGGGTTGGAAGTTACTTAAAGAGAAAAGATAAATTATATAGAGCAAGATAACAATTGATAGACGACTTAAAGGATTGTAAATTATATGAATCAGGAAAGCAAGTTGTAGGAAGTGAATTCCGAAGAACTGATGTTTGAGGAAAAAAACTAGGCGAATAAGAATTTTTGGAGAACAGTTACAGTAAAGAGATGAGACTTAATTAAATGACAAGTAACACAAGAATTAATTTTAGTAGATTGCGCAAGAGACCAGGGTGTTACCCAGCCTGATGGCGCCTCGTATAACACGGTATTCCCAATTGGTTTAAAATTCCCAAAGGTTTATAAGATCATAGTGAAAAAAATAAAAAAAATTTTAATTGCGCTTTTCTCAAAATACGTAATTAAGGCGTTTTGAAAAATGGCTGCAGTATATCAAAAACAAAGAAAAGAAGTGATTTAAATGAAAACTTTAGAAGATTGCTTATAATGAAACAAGTTGATTAATTAAAATTAAACATATAAAGTAGAAAAATAATACTGCTGTAAATGTAACTCCCAGCAAAAATAGAAAGTTTATTTTTGGATTAAAATTTAATTGCAGAATGTAAGGACCTTTTTTTTTTTTTTTTTTTTTAAACCGCACCTAAATTCCCAATTTCGCAAAAACACTGTATGAAATTTTTTCCTGGGTAACACCCTGAAGACACTAGCTCTTTAGAACAATGCCCATTATAGTATTTATAGAAATAAGAAAGAGAAGCAACATTACGGCGATGTGATAATGGTTGGAAGTTGGCTGCACGATCAGGTCCAACTATGTTTACAATGTGTTTTTGCACCTTGTCTTAAATGCCCCAGATATGGCAACAGTATTCCATACAAGGATGGATTTGAGTTTCATGATGATAAAGAATAGAATCAGGAGTATGAAAGTGTCAAATACGATAAAGAAATACAATCTTAGCAGATGCTATTTTTGCAATTGATTTAATATATGGTTTTCAAGAAAGATCAGAAAAAAGAATTAATCCTAGAAGATAAAGGGTAGATGAGTCATCAAGTACATTACCGTTCATAAATATAGAAAGTTCTAGAATATTTCGATAATAATAGCTGAATAAAATTGAGTTTTATCAGCCACTGAGAGCCCCATGCTGTAGCAAAAGTGAGATCGTTTTCAAGCTCAAATGCCCCCTCCAAGCAATTAGAGAGTGTGGCTTTTTATCAAGACAAGAATAAATGGTAGTATCAGCAGCGAACAATGCCACCTTAGATGTGAGAATATCTGGAAGACGCTCTCACAAGAAAATTAAAAAGAATATAGGACTAAGGATAGAACCTTTAGGAATCCCTGAAGTTACATGATATGAAGAAGAGTGCTGTCCATCAAGGATAACTTTTATACTGCAATCGGTAAGGAAGGATTCAATCTTAAAGATGTTACCTGATACACTACAACAAGAAAGCTTATGGAGAAGACCAGCATGCCAGACTTTATCAAAAGCCTCAGAAATGTCAACGGCAAAAGCATTAACCTCTCAACATCTATCTAATGCATAATTGTACAATAAAACCTATTGGTTATTACTGTTAGCAAATCAGCTGTAAAATGAAAAGATCAAAACCCATATTGATGATCAGAAAGTAAGTTATTAGATTTAAGATGAGAGATTAAGCATTTGGTAATTAATTCAAAAACCTTGCTTATGATAGGAACAAAACTAATAGAACGGTAGTTAGACAAGTCAGATCGTTCTTCAGAATATTTGAAAATAGGGATAACAGATGTCGCTTTCCAGCAGTCTGGAAAACAAGACTCTGATAAGCACTTGTTGATTAGTTTTGAAAATATAGAGAGCAACTTTGGAGAGCACTTCTGCAAGACTATAACAGGCATGTTGTCTGAACCACAAGTTGTAGAAGAGTTTAAGCAGTAAATCACTTAAGATACAGAATCTCGAGTGATACTAATGTCAAGCAAATCGATCAACAAGTTTGTTGGCTATGTCAGATAGAACACTATTAGTGGAATCAAGAGATAAAAGTGATAAAAAGTTTTTAGCAAATAATTCAGCTTTATCTTTAGGTGTGGTGACAAAATCTGAACCATACAAAAGAGGTGGAATAAAAGATTTTCCCTTATTGTTGATACTATTAAAGATTTTCCAGAAGTCACGAGAGCCTTATTTTTGTGATGAAATACAAGATTTTATGACCTGAGAATAGCGGGCTTTGGCGTTAAGGCGAGTTTCCACTCATCCGTTTTTTTACGGGAACGGGAAAGTGACGGTAAAAATAATCACGTGGGCATGCGTAGTATAAGTTTTAATATGTCCGAAGGAAAACTACGCATGCTCACGTGATTATTTTTCCTTTTCCTATCCCGTTCCCGTGAAAAAACGGATGAGTGGAAACTCACCTTTAGACAAAACCTTTTTTACGATTTCTAGCTATAGTAAACAGACTGTTTTCTGGAGAATTGTTTTGCTGATAGATATGTATGAAATGGTTTCGATTGAAAATTCCAGCAGCACAATGTGGGGAAAACCATGGAGAAGAATGAAGCTTGACTTAAAATTGTCAACAAGAAATAAAAGATTCCATGCCAGCTTGAATCCAAGAAGTAATGTGAGAAGTACATTTGTTAGAAGGAAAGCGAAAGATATCTACCCAAGGGCCATCACAAAAAAAATCCCAGAAAGAGTCCCAGTCAGCTATAAGGCAGTTGTAAGAGGTATGATGATGAGGGATTCTGATGATGAAGAAGAATGAGATGATAATTTTAGAGAGAACTGTGATCAAAAGCACTTATGTGAATGTGGTGAAACTGAACACTTACTAGGCTCAGAAGCATGACATAAAAGAAAGTAGAGAAGGTAAATGACTCTAATTGTCTGGCAAGCAAGTTAAAAAGTTAACAATTTGAGTTAGAGACTGAGAAAGGCAAAAGTTGTGGGCCTCAACCCCTGCAGACTCATTGACACAAGTGCCGAGCCAATCAGTGTGATGAGCATTAAATTCACCAACAACAACAATATTGGCTGAAGTATAAAGAGAGAGGGTTCTGTCAATTTGATCAGAAATTGCATCAAAAAAGAGTGCAGCTTTGAGATGAAGGATAGCAATACAGAATAAAGAGAAAGGTGATAGAATTAAGTGTTGCTAAATTAAAGCACAGAAAAAGAGTAGTCTGTGGATTCAAACTAGTTTCCCGAGAGATGGGTGAATTCTTATGAATGTAAATGCCTAGGCCAAGCATGTGTCTATTTTAAGTCTTTATGAATTAAAGGGATATAACCATCAAAACTACGATTAGTTGAGACAGCTCAACTCAAATTTGTCTCACAAAGAACAAGTAGATTTAGTGAACTTTGCAAGTGATATGACTCAACAAAAAAAGTTACTTCGAAGACCATGAGTATTAGTGAATGGTAGATTTCAAGCCTTCCCAGGAAGAGAAGGCTTGAAGCCTATCATTTTTTCATCAAAATTTTTTATCTTGTATGTCCAAACGAGAGTATTTTATTTTAGACAACTTGGTCATAGCCATTTCCAAGTTTTATTATAAGTGTTACCGAAAAAAGTTTCAAAAACAAAGAAAGCTAAACTAAATAGGAAATTAAAACAAAACTTAAATAGAAAATAATAATAGTTTGAATAATTTGTGTACTATTTTTATTGCTGTTTCTTAAGTGTGGGTTGTTATTTTCAGCAACAAAATTCAATAACTCAAAGCATCAAGAAAAAAACATTTAAACATTAAAAAGAATGACTTTCCTATATTTTATTTGTTTGTTTTTTTAAGAGGAAAGCGAAAATATAAATTGTCTTCTGTTTGTTTTATTATAACATTATTTTTATTATAATGTTTTATGTTTATTATAATGTTTTATTTTTATTATAATGTTTTATTATAATGTTTAAATATAACAAGTATATATTGTCCCTATAAGAAAACTTCTATATAATGCACGCGTATACTTTTATTATATATAAAAATAAATATATAACTTTTTGTATTATATAAGTATATTTATTTTAATTAAAGTATATGCACGTATAGCTTAATAGGATAAAACATTAATTTCATACACGGAATGTCTGTGGTTTGATTTCCACTACCAACAGCATTTTTTTAAGTTTTCTTTTAAATACGGCTGTTCATGTGTTTGCTTTGCAACCAATTATATTTTATTATTTGTATATAAAAAATCTTATTGTATGTTTCTGAATGATACTCATCTCTTCACATTCAGATTTCATATACTATTTAAGCCTTTCAGTGTATTTTCTAAGTAAGGCGCACAACTATGTATATAGTTTTTAAGCTTCAATTAGGCCATGCCGTCTACACATAGCCTTAATTGTTTCATATTACTTTTGTTTTCCTGTATCTTTTTTATTAAAAGTATTTTAACATGTTTCTTTTTAACATTTGGCTTTGTTTGTGTAAAAAAAACTTTACAAAAATTAAGAATAGGTTGTTCTCGAACTACTTACATCCCATTTACGAAGTCTATGCCTTATCCAAATAAGCTAAATATGCGTATAAATTAGGAAATAAATATAATGATAAAGTACAAAAAATAAACATAAAAGTATATGCATTCATTTCATAAACGTTTTCATAAAGGGACAATTTATACTTGTT